ATGCATATTCTCTGTCATATGGACCTGCATGAATAAACTTTCTGAATCCTTTATCATCCGCAACTGAAAATAGTTGTGGATGATTACTATACCTTTCTAATGTGACGTTGTTGTCCCTGGCTCTCTTTCTCTCCTTCTGGCTCTGTTCCTGTGCTACTGAGTGTAACTACCACCCTTCCCCCCTCTGCCCAGTGCAAAGCACAAGGCTCGCATGTGGAGTGAAGCAGAAAAAAAAGTGAGAGAGAGAGAGAGAGAGAGAGAGAGAGAGAGAGAGAGAGAGAGAGAGAGAGAACCCATGGCTGGCGATAAGGACCCGGCTCTAAGAGCCATTTCGTTCGCGACCGACACATCACTAATTGCTGCCAGAAAGTACTCCTGAATACAACCCATCTCTGAACAGTTAAAACACAGCAGATACCTCTGGTAACCACAGGTAATCATATTGGTCCAGATTAAAGATAAATAGATTATTAAACAGCACTGTTGGCCGAGTCTTCTCTGTCCACGAGTAAAAAGGCACTGTTTGAAGAGGTATTTGCCCCCTACCTGATAACTTAGCTTTTGCATATTTGTCACATTTGTTCTGGATTATCAAAAAAAATAAATATTAAACAAAGATATCAACAAAAATAAAATGCTATTTTTCAATCATCATTTCAATTATTAAGGGATAAACGTTATCCAAACCAGCGAAAAAGTAATTGCCCCTTTTTGTTAAATCATGAATTAACTGTGTTAATTCATGATTTAATCAAAAAATTTTGGAAAGCTAAATTCAATTTCACCATCTGATTACTACCAGACCTGTTGAATCAAGCAATCACTTAAATAGATCTTGTGAGACAAATTCAAGTACGCTAAATGATCTCACAAAGCAACACATCACACCAAATTCTAAGGCCTTGGGACTCCAGTAAACCAAAGAGAGCCGTTTTCCACAAATGGAGAAAACTTGGAACAGTGGTGAACCTTTCCAGAATGACCGGCCTTCCTAAATTACTCCAACAGCCCAGTGACGACTCATTCAGGAGGTCACAAAAGAACCCAGAACAACATTTAAAGAACTGCAGGCCTTAATCTGTCTTGGTTAAGGTCAGAGTTCATGATTCAACAATAAAAAAATTTTTTAAAAAGAGACTGGGCAAAAATGGCATCCATGGGAGGGTCCAAGGAGAAAGCCACTGCTGGCCAAAAGGAACACAAAGGCTAATCTCACATTTATCAAATAACACCTTGGGGATCCTTTTGGGAAAATATTCTGTCGACTGACGAGACAAACGGAGCTTTCATTAAGCTTTGTTTAATATTAAGATTTGTTTGATGATCTAAAACATTTAAGTGTGACAAATACGCAAAAAAAAAAACCCAAAGAAATTAAGAAGTGGACAAATACTTTTCCACAGCCCTGAACAACATCGCTTATTTGTAAATAAAAAGTCTGAAGTGAGACCATTTGAAGAACAAGTAGGTGTGCTCAGATAATTCAAAAGGAATGGGGGTCACATTCTTAGTAAAACTGAGTAAAATAATGAGTAAACAACTGAAACAGAAGACAAAAATCACACAACCCTTTAAGTTTCTTTTATAATTTCACCTTTAATAGATGAAGCCCGCCTTGCCATGAGGAAAGGCCACATTTGGTAACGATTGAAATCACCTACAAAAATAAACCCGCCTCAGCCTACGGAGAGAGAACACGATGAGACCTTCAGCCTCTCCTTCAGGTTTGCCCGCAGCTGTTGAACTGTACAAAGGCACAGAGATCGGGACATTTCAGACCGAGCTCCAACTGCAGCTCAGATCTGAAACTTTTACCCAGAAAACCCTTTAGATTTTTTTTAACTCAAGTGTAGAACAACAGAGTTAGCTTTGTGTTTTCAAGCTCATCATAAACCTGAAAAGGTGTATCGCTTCTCTATAGTGAGTCTGGGTGAACAACAACAAAAACAGCATCACTGGGAAAAATCAGGAAGAGCTTCAACAACACAGATCTTTGGCATTTAACACAACAGTTTGTGGATGTTCAAACCAGAGACCCGAGCGCACAAATCTGAGAAGAGAAGCTTCAAAACTGCTCAGAAAATTAAGCTTGTGAACTAATTTAGTTTAGTTTGTTTGTTTTTAAAGAACAAGATTTAAAGATTTAAAACAATGAAGTAATACATATTCTTACATGTAAAGTTCGTGAATGTTTTCTGAGCTGTCATTTTACACTATATTATCCTATATAATACACTAATTTATATCCAGTTTGGGGACAAAAAATACTAAAAGTGAAAATGTGAAGCTAGTTTCAAAGAAAAGCAAAGGGAAGGCTGAAAGCTCTTAAATACGCAGGAAGTGTAAAAATATTAACATTCGACAGGCTTGAAGATGATTTTGTGATGTTTTTATAAAGAATTAATCCAAATTAGCCTAACAATCAGAACAATAGTCAAATTTCAGCAACATCTAAAGAAATAAAACATATGCTAACAAGGAAAACAGGTTTAAATAGTGTAAAATGACAGAAAGTATAAGAACATTTCAATTAAGACTAAGGAGCCAATGGTTTGCACGCTATCAGACTCTAGGTAAGTTTGAACAGCCTTAAAAACAACATCTCTGAATACATACAAGGTATTATATCTGATCTTCATACATGAACACTACTGGCCCAAAAAGCTTTCCATGACATAATTCCTCAGAAATCCTAATTTCTATCAGCAGCAGGTAAACGGCATCTGAAAACTATTTTCCAGACGCTGTCCGACTGCTGTTTTATCTAAAATAACACATGCTTTTAATGTTGAACAGCCCAGGATTGTTTACAGTAAGCAAAATATTTCACAGCCAACTCTGAGCAAAATCCTACGGAAGCTCACTGAGACCAAAACTTATTAAATGACCTCACAATCGTCGACTTCTGCCACACTATACTTTCATCAGCTAAAACAGAAAAAGAATAATAAGATTATAGTGTGTTAGATGTTAAGATAAAGTAGAGCATGTGATCGCGGTACACAGGAGAACAAATTAAATTTTAAAAACCCGTTTTCCCTGAATTCAAAGTTAAAGTGCCCCAAAAATTAAATTTCATGCAACTAGTCTGGGATGATGTGTTTTAACAGCTAAAGTTGTTTATGAGATACACAAAAAGCAACAACGTGGCTTCAAGATTCAGTTACTGTTTCCATTCAGACTTTCGCATCACTTTCAACTATAAAGTATGGAAGCAAAAGAGGGCCAAAATAATTGTATTTTTTCTGAATTTGTTAACCTTGAAAAAGTAAAACCACCAATAATTAAAATTATATACTCAAAGTTTTCAAATGACATACTGAAAATTAAGCATTTAAAGACCTCCAAGTTTAAATTTTTTGTATTTACGTGTAACCATTAAGTTATTAATTTCTCTTTGGAAATTACATAAAAGTTGGAAATTTCTACAAGAGACTAAAAAAGGAATAAAAAAACGCTGATATTCTGAGAAGAAAAGGGTCAGGGTGTTCCAACTTTTACCAAGAAATGCTCCAAATCAATAGATAGATATTTCCCATAATCCAACATTTTCTAACATATTCCAGTTGGCCGCCTTCTCTTTTAAACCTTGCGTGTCAAAGTTTATAATGCTGGACTTTTGCCCATGATAACCCAGAGATTATATATAAAATTAATTCATTTAAATTCTAAACGCCCTTTTTTGCTTCCATAAAATTAACCCAGTGTTTAATAATAGAAGAAACTGGGGTTAAAACCCCTTTAAATAAAACCTCTAAACTATATATACTGTATGTTTTTCCCTCTGGTGGGATGAGGCCCCTAATAGATGTTTTGCTCCAGGCAACAACACAAAAAATATCTTTGGTTATAACAAAAATAAAAACAAAATAACTCTATAAGATAAATCAAGTTTGACACAGAAGCAAGAGAACAGTTGGCGTGTTTGACCACTAGATGGCGACAGTCTCCTACAGAAACGCCCTGCAGCACCCTCAGTTTGACATCATTTAGTACCTGCAGCTCAAACAGCAAACAGCATTTTGCAACATATAAAGATAAAATGCAATGAACATTAATGTTTTGACTTGTTTGTCCAGATTATTGACAGATTACTGACTTCTTTAAAATTACCCCCCTCACCCCCCAAAAAATATTCCAAGCAAACAAGAAAAAGCCTCTTTGACTTTTAAATGATAAATTACATCCCCACAAAAAATATTGCATATATATATATATTAAGGGTTTTTAAGGCCTTTTCTTAAGAAAACCCTTTTCTCGTTGAGCCTTCTTTTTCCACTCTGATGCATTTCTTTAGTTTTTCTGCCTTTAAACCCTCATGTTTACTACAGTCCTGCGTGCCTTGATTTGTGTCTCACTCTTATTTTATTCTTAAGAGAGGTTTATGAGGTCAAGGCTGCACATTTTAGTTCAAGATAAGCGTATCAAAAAGTTGCGTTTTAAATGAATGCCTGCTGACAGACGGGTTGAAACGCACACAATGCCGCTGTTTTTCCTCCCTGGTCTCAGCAGCTATCAGCACTCACAGACCTCCTTTTCTTGCACTCATGGATTCGAGGAGCTCACATAATGCAAAAAGTGAACAAGCAGTTAATCAAAGTGACTTGCGGTTGGAGGAAACCCCCGTCACTGTCCTCAAGGCCACAGTCACATTGCTTGTATGACAGTCTTTCGCATGTAATCGCTCCTCGTGCCATTTATCTTCCCCTAGTTTTTGTCTTTCCTGCATCTAATGTTTCTTTTCTACTTCCTCTAAACCGCTCAGCCAACTTCCAGAAACCTGTCAAATCTCCACACTGACCACATGGTGGGGGGCAGGGGGGC